CGGCAGATGGTGGCAATATGTCTTCGTGTGGCCATAAGTCTGACAATTATGGCACTGCACGATGTCTCTCTTGGGATATGGCTTCTCAACTTTCACCATTGTGTAGTATATTCTTGTGATATCATATATTTTTTCGATACCTGGTGATGGCTCCAAGTCCACGAAAAACAATGGTAGTGGGATCCTATTTCGTAATCCTGGCTGCTCCCTGTCCTCCTTCAAAACGTTTGTTACCTGGCGTACATTGAAACCAAGCGTCGTTAGTTCTTCTTTAATAACTTCAGTGGGGGTTGAGGAATGTAAATTTCTTATCACTACTCGTAAAGCTCTTTCCTGCCTCAGCTGGTAAGTGTGAAAATTCGCATTTGTTTCTGATAAGTACTTCACTATTTTTCGGTAGGCTTCTGCAGAATCAGGTGTTATTTTGGTGTCATTGGTCCTGTTAAGGCATGAATAACTGCCAGAGCAGATTTTATTTAGTTGGGTGCAGAACATCTGGAAATTTTTTATATTTTTCACAAATATCGGAGGAGGCTTTGGTTCTCTGGGTATTGCTGCAGACTCCATTACTTCTCTGTCATTTTGAAGCACTTGGTAGGGGTTTGGAGTAAAGAAAGGTGATTCTTCAATCGTTTCTTGTGCAGACGTACCTGGTTGGGGCTGAGGTTCTGGTTCTGAAGTGTTCATCTTGGTCACTGGAGGTATTTCTCGTAGGCAGCGACGAGTCCTTTGTTTGGCTGGTGAGCTAACTCCGTCTGACCGAGACCTCTTGGGCACCTTACTGGCCATCACTTGCTGATCATACCGCATATCATAAGAGAAAAATAAACAAATAAATAAAAAAAAAAAAAATTTTTTTTTTTTTTTTTTCTTAAAATAACAAAAAAAAAAAGATGCCAACAGTAAATATCAACTGCTCTGATATACACTTTAACTGTATCACGTGAATAATCAGAGAGATTCCGCTATAAAATTGGTAAAAACTGAGAGAGGAGTTGAGGAGACCTGGTATGAATTAAGTAAATTAAATCTTTTATTAAATAAAATTGTCTAACTTATCTATTTTTGGATTTTTCACAATGAAACATGAAAAAAATTAGGTGTGCCAATACTTTTTTGATCCACTGTAAATTTAATTTAAACTGTTGTCAAATCTCTGTAATAGACATAATACCTATTGCCGCCAATTCAATTTGATGAAAATTTCAGGGATTGCTATTGGGAGTTGACGTATTTATGGATCCATATAGATTTTATTAAGATTGCCTCAGAAATTGATTAACTGATATCAATTAAGTTAATCATTGGCAATATAATTACAACTAATTTCACGACTTGTTTGCTAATAATCATGTAATCTCAACTTTTTACAACAGTTACAAATCCCTCTTCTCCTCTTTTGGAGCTCACAAGGACTTTTAACCAAATTAACATCTGTTAAAATAAATTTTTAAAAAAATTCTTGAAAAGGTCCAAATTTTTAGTAATTGGAAGCTCCTGACAACGGAGAAGAAATGCAATTGGCTATGAATATAGATGGTGCAATCTAATGGTGAGCGTTATTTAATTACTGTACATACACGTTCCGGTATACAGTTAAACGTTTGGGTAAGCACTTGTTTCTCCTTCGGACATTTCTTTACTGTTTGTTCTGCTTAAGAGATGTTGAATTTTATGGTTAATGGTATGATTTAAATGGATTATTTTCATCCAGCATCTCCGTTGACAAATTTTACGCCTTGTTTAATTTCTTTTGCTTTCTTAGGTTTCTTTTTAAAATGTTTATAGGTTAGGTCAAATGCAAATTCCAACGTCTGCCATTGTTTGTTAAAATGTAAAAATGTCCAAGCATCTTGTTTCTTGGTTTTGTTTGTGTTTTTGAAATATGTTATACTTAAATTTGTTTTGTCATGTGACTGGACTGTATAACCTTAAATATCTCTTAATACATAACAGTTATAAATAATTTTTTTTTTCTAAGTTGCATTAGAAGTTGTTGTTCACCGGAGTTTTAGATTTGATTTGGAGATTGATCTATGGGTACTTATTCTTTCAATACCTTATCTTAAATTACGTAAGAAATCAGTATGATTCATAACCAACGAAGTGATCAAATTAATTTATTTTATCTAATTTGATAATTAACTAAAAGATATGTTCTGTCTACAACATGGAACGGAACTCGAATTGCGGACTTCTCTTTATTCAGGATGTGTATATCAAAGCGTTTGTGAGATATGGTATACTCCCCAAGACGAATTGGGAAATCTAAAACTATAAACTTCTCTATAAGTATAAGTCATTTATTTAGTTGTTTCTATGGCGCGGTGCTATGGGCGGTCGACTCTCTTTGGATTCGTTCCTACAACAATTTCAGAACTCTGCTAGCGTACTGAGTACAATTAAGTACGCGCACGAATTTCCAAATCTTATTCAGCTTTAAAGATTAGATTAAAACAATAAAAGAAAAAGGAAAATGGCAGAGACGGAGCTTCGTCACGAAAGTGGATACAACGCTTTGTTGCACTGGCGGATCTATTGGGGAGGGGGAGAGCTTTTGGGTTGAAGCCCCCTCCCCCAAAAATGGTAAAATGTAACCATGTTTTATGGTTAAAAATGATCTCTTGAAGTATTATTGTTCGTGTAATTACATTTAATAGGACTTCAAAAATCACTTAAACACTATTTCATATAGGTAGTTAGTATCTTTTTTTCCCAAAGTAATTATAGTTATATATGCAAAAAAAATATCAGGGCCCCCTCTCCAAAAAAAAAAAAAAAAAATGAATCCGGAATACGCTAGTGCTTCATCGTCGCCAGCGCCTAGCTCATGCAACATAGCTTGGGATATAGGCACAGACTATCATTCTAGCTTTGGGAGGGGGGAGGAGGATCGATGGACTTCCCATAAACAAAAATCTCAGATATTATGAGCGACAATTAGCTAAATCAACATAATTGTTGTAAAACGAACAATATAATACTTTATATGAAAAAAAAATGTATATGTTTATATATTATTTTTATTTATTTATTATTTTTTGCATATAGTGATGGATAAATTTGAAAATTGGCGCAGACTTCAAGAGGATGAGGGGGTCATTGTCTCCCCCCCCCCCCCAATAAAAATAGAGAGAGGGCGAGAATATCGTTTCGTCCCCCAATATTTCAAAGAACAAAAATTTAAAAAAATCAAATCAAATCAAAAACACTTAATCTATACGAATGAATAAAATATCTCATCTAAAATCAATTAAGAAAACAGAAAAAGTCGATTAAATGCCTAAGATACGAGCTGGAAGTAGCTAAGCAAGCATTTTACTACTGTCTATGTTCCTATTATTGAAATTTACATAGATGATTATATGTAGCTAAATATATGCTAAAATTTTAAATAAATACCTATGTAATATATCATCGGATATATTATAATTATATAGGATATACACATATCCTTGGATTTTATGATTTATTCATATCCACTCTTAAGATTTTATCAAATTTTTCGTAGCAAAATTGAAGCATCGGAGAGTTCATCTCACTGCCTCAGAGATCTTCAAATAAAAAAAAAAAATTCAATTACTTTGTTAATGTATTTTCAAACAACTAAGATACTTACATATATATATATTTATATTTTAAATACAAAGTAGGAATTTTATTGTTCATTTACAACAATTATGTTTATTACTTTAATTATCATTTATAATTTTTATAATAATATAAATTCTCGAGACTTTTTCTGAGAGGGGAGAGGAAAGGGATCATCGCTCCCCCCCCTACATAAGAATGGAAAGTCTAAAGAGTTGAAGAACGCACAGGCTCCTAAACGAAAATAATAAAATGGTTCCCCGCCTATATTAATTACCAATAGTTATTATTTTTTTCCGTTTACTCTTGTCAGACCAAAAAAATCAATAAAAAAAATCGTGGCATCCTTACAATTAAATAAAAAAACCTTAAATGTGTGCTTTAGACCACACGAAGAATAAGTGGAAAGTGGAAACATCAAGAAGACGATATTAATAATATGAAATATAAATTATAAATAAGAGCTCATTATAAAGAGGACGAAATGCTGAACATTCTCTCCCTTACTGTCCGAATTTTAGTTTCTGTGATATTTTCATCTGTATCTGCCATAAAACTCGTTATCATTTGTTTTCGACACTTTTTTTTCTTTTCGGCTCTCGAACACGACGTCGCGTTAAGATACATTTTGAATAATAGCACGTTACAGAGAGGATGAAATGCTGAACAGTTCCTATAATTAAAGTATCCAGGTCCAATTTTAAGTTTCTGAGATATTTTAATTCATTTGCAAAAACAATTCAATTAGTCGACTTTACCCGAGCGTTACGCGTCAGAAATCTGACGGCTTAATCTAATTGTCTCTCCACCCAATAGTGCTAAACGCGCCTAAAGATGTTTTCACTTCAATATTTAATACATACAATTTTAAAAGGAAATTAAGTGTGACGAAAACGCATAAATTTAACAGAGTTGACGGGTGGGTCATATGGTACTTTCACTTACCTATACTTGAAAATACCTATTTATATTTAGATTAGAGTGGTAAGTGAAAGTTAAAAGTGATGCGCGCACCAAACCAGATTTTTTTTTTTAGCAATGAAACCTCCCTTATTAATTGTAATTGTTATCTTTAAGAAACTTGATCGTTTTCGGATCAAACGCAGATCTTAATCATTGAAAATTATAAACTGAATATTAAAAAATATATATATTTATCAGTAAAATAAAAGTGTTGAAATTTGTTACGAAGAGATCGGGAGAACTCGTGTGGATTCGGCCATGGCCGGTTGTCAACCTTCTCACCGTAACCAACTAGTTACCTTTTTGATACCCTCCGTTGCTCAAGTCAAATCAACACCATTTAACTGTTAAGGATGTGTTTAGGTGTGTTCGCGTTTACAGTTTACATTTATTTTCTGTACGAATACCTAGGCATTAGTAATTATATTGTATTCATGTATTTTCAGGTTGCTTTACTTGTTCCTGTATGAGGCCTCGGTATAAACGCCTTGTTGATAACATTTTTCCAGCTAATCCTCAAGTAAGTACTGATTAAAGAAGTTGTTTTGTGTTTTCAATTTGTGTTCCTATTAAAGTATTATTAATAACACTGTATATTACAATGTCATTATAGGATGGACTTGTTAAAAATAATATGGAAAAACTTACATTTTATTCACTTTCATCTCCAGAGAAATTGGATCGAATAGGAGAGTATATATTTCAACGGGCTAGTCGTGATATATCTAGGAAAAAAACATGGTATGTACCAAGTGTTTCCAATAAGTTTTTAAAAAAAATCTGTTTGTTTACTCCTCAAAAGTATATGTTATTGGAATTTGTCTGTTATCAGATAATCATACACCTTATATTTAAACTGAAATCGCTTATCGAATTGTTTTAAATTTACTTGAGTTTTTAGGACTTAATTTCATAGAAGAATTTTTAGTTATAGCTTAGTTCTGCCCTATTCTTGTAACTATTATGCTTTAATTTTATCAAACTGTAATGATCCCTTGATAGATCATTATTATTTTTCCTGTTCATAGTTCACTGATGTTTCGTTTTTATTGTTCAAAGTTATTAAATTGTGTGTAATATTGTATTTATATACTGAATTATCCCTCCAACATTAATAATAATATATTAATATGCATAAGTTGATAATTTTTTTATTTAGATTATGAATAAGTGATATAATAAGTATATTTTTGTCCTAATTAATTAAAAAGCCTTAATTTTTTTTTTCTCCTGAATCAGCTTTATGAAACACACCTTACATCAGCTAGTCCTGAATCCAATATATTGATGAGTTATATTGGAATTTCAATTGGCCCTACCCCCAGTCTGAGGTTGTTAAAATCCTTATATATCAAATAATAAAAACACCCTAAATACAAAAACAATTTTTGATGTTTTTTCATAGTAATTTTTTATTTATTTTGTAATCTATATTAGTTTTGAAATAGGTTCAATTACTTTTCCCTATGAATGAAAAATATCCTCATATATTTATAGACCAAATATTATACCCACTAACATTAAAATAAAAAACCGTAAATCCATTTTTTTGAATAAAAACTTAAAGAATATTAATTGTACTAATATTAAAAACATTTTTGTCCAATTTAATATAAAAGCTTTTTAAACAATTGAAGAAATTTGTGTACCTTGTAATCTGTAGAATTTTATTTATTGATGACGATAGGGCTTTCCATGTTATAAGGCAGATTTATAGTATAAACTTATTCAAAATCTTAAGTTATCATTGCCTATATAGTTTCAATTTTATTTATTTCATGATTATTAAATTATTCATTGAAATATGCAATTAAACTTGAAAATTCATTTATCATTTAGCTGACCTTAAGTCATGTTTTAAAATAATTTATTCGATGATTATTTTTTCATTCAAGGATGCTTTGTATTTAAAATAGTGTTTTTTTTTTGTTTTTTTTATATTTTTCCCAGACAATTAAAAATCATATAACCTTGAGTATTGGATTCACCAGAAAGTATTTAATTATGTCATTGTGACTGGCACACTTCTTAATTGAGTTGTATTAAGTATTAATTATTCTTACAAAAATATTTTATTCCATATCTTGGCTTAATGTCTGTGGACCACGGGTTGAAACTTTTATGGAACTTTTTTGCTGTAGACATTCAATACACTTACACATCCCATAAATAATTTTATTAATATGTTGGGCTGTTCCTTTTGTTTTAATGAACTTACTGATATTATTTATTCTTATATTATTATTCTGCGTGTTAAAACAAATTTTATTTAGAATATTTTTTAGTTTTGATAGAAATTCGTTCTACCTCTAAATAAATATATCTTAATTTTAAATTGTATATTATTTTCTCAGTTTATTAAATAGTTATTTATATATTGTTTTGTAATTCAGTTAAGTAAATAAATTGTATCCATTTTCTCTTTCCCTTTTCGCTTAAAAAAACAGGTTTAAAGTTTGTTTTCTCAATTATTTACTTTTTATCCATATTTTTGGCTTTAACAACAAATTTAATATCTGCAAATATACAAATTGAGTCTTGATGTACATGACAAATAGGTATTCCCCAGATAGGATTCATACGGCCTTTATTGATTGATGAAAAACCCAGAAGGGAATGGCAGATGTAAAAGCAATACGAACAAGACTGATACAGTTAATATAAATATATATTAATTAATATTTTAATTTTTGTTGAGAGCTCTAAAAAATATCTATTGTATTAACATGACCTGCCATTTTGTCATGAAATAGCCTGGAAAGATTAATGATTTGTTTCATAAAATTTATTTATGGTCTTCCCAGATGCTTTTATGTCTCTCACGGGTATTACAAGAAAGGCTGGTTATTTCTTTATCTCGAAAGACAATACATCGTTTGTGCCTTTCCATTATAATACTTTTAAAAAAAAAATTACGTTGTATAATTTTGATCTCATCACACCACACCATTTTCTTCCATCCACCACTTAATTATTAGATCTCAACCCTTCCAATCACATAATAGCTTCTTTGAAAAATCCTTTGTAATTCGAGCAACCTTATTTTGGAATTCCTTACTCAACTTCATATAACTTTCCCACTAACCTCATTCAAACATCATTTATTTCTCCATCTTCTTGACTACCTATCTTCCATTTTCATGTAAAAAAGTAATTTCTATGAAAGTTAAATAAGATTAAAAGACAATATTGTAGATGTTTTTTGTTGATTTTAGTTTCAGGTACTTAGATATTTTTATTTGGATATCAAAGAGTGGCTCTTATTTCAATTTGTTAATTATATTACAGTTATGTTATAATCGCTATGGAGGCAATGGACCAGCTGTTAAGTGCTTGCCATTCTCAAACTTTGAATTTGTTTGTCGAAAGTTTTTTAAGAATGGTTCAGAAGTTGTTGGAATCCACAGAACCAGATCTCCAAGTTTTAGCTACAAATAGTGTATGTTTATTATATATTCTAATGTTTGTTATGCATATTATAATAATGCTTGTATATATTTTTTCTGAAGTTGAATTTCAATTTTAGTTTGTTAAATTTGCTAACATAGAGGAAGATACTCCTTCTTACCATAGGAGATATGACTTCTTTGTTTCAAAATTTTCTTCAATGTGTCATAATAATGCAACTGATATTCAAGTGAGAAAAACATTGAGGTTAGCTGGAATACGAGGTCTGCAGGTGAGTTGTGGCTTATCAACAAATATCTCAAATTTTATGTTTCCTAATTTTATTAATTATTCAAGTGACTTTCATTAACGAATATAGAAATTTTATTTTATTTCTTGTTTACTGATACAACTTGATTTTTCTTTATTATTTATTTTTCATATATTCCATACTCACATATTCTTTTTTTTATGTACAAGACTTTTATTACTTAAAATATCTATTTGACCACTATTCAAAAAATGATAATATAATTACATTAAATTTATTAAATTGGATATATATGTATTTAAAAATATAATTGGCCACCACCTGGCTGGATTCAGAAGAAAAGGATCAAGCTAGACCACATCTCTATCCTAAAACAATTGCTGTAAAAACTATTTGAAGTAGCTCAGAAAATACTTTAGTTATCTATTTCGAAGCATCCTATGATTCCATGGACAAAAACCGTCTTTGGAAAATCATGACTGAACTGGGAGTCCCCGGGAAGATTGATGAAGACGTGTACGAATGATCCTAAATGTCGAGTCCTAAAGCAAGGAGAAGTAAATAAATGCTTCAAAGTTCGAACTGCCTTATGGAAGGGAGATGGACTCTCGTTGATGCTCTTCATCTTAGCCTTGGATGAGGTGATAAGAACATCTCATGAAAAAAGATGGGTTCATATCGGAATGAATCATTAAATCCTTGGATACTCGGATAATAAAGCTGTCCTGAGAACCAAACAATAGGGTATAGTAGAGAGGTTTGATAAGACTTATAAGAAATAGACCTACATGTAAATGAAGATAAAACAAAGTATATGATCGTAAACTGAAAATTCTCTCCAACAATTGGGTTTGTATAAAAGGAAAATTGTTCTCGAGAGTATTTGCAAGAATAGTGTTTGTTTACAACCTGTAAAATTTAGTTCACATGTCATGATTTGTTGTAGTGAAAAGAACTTTTTATTTTGTTCATTTTATCTAATTTTGGTGTCTTAAGGTTTTAATTTTTCATAATTTAAGGCCATATTACACCAATATTTTATTTCCTTCACTCTATCATAATAGATAGTCATAAGAGTTTTTTTCCATTACAGAATATATGATGAAAAAACACTGCTCTCAAATACCTTAAAACTTTATAAAGATGTAGTCCCTTCAATGATTTATACCTCTTAAAAAAAACCTTTAATAAATGTTTATAATATATAAATAAATTTTTTTATACGGGCCATTTTTAACTATCAGTTAATACTTTAATTACAAAAGTTGATATTTCATTCTCTAAAATATAACTGGTCAAATAATACATTACCAAAAGTGTATCTTTAGATACACGCGTAGATAAAGCATAATTGTTTACATTATGAATTTATATTTTTTCCGATGGCAGATTATTTATCAGCATTTAAATTAAAAAGGGGTTAATTGACCTATGCTTAAATGGTCGAACTATAGTTCACTTTTTGAAGTGAAAACTTCTTTAGTTGCGTTTTGCACTTTTTTGTGGGGAGCGAATGAAACTGAACCATCAGGCTTGGATGTGTAACTCATTCGGGTAATGTCGGACTAATTGAATTGTTTTTGCATTTAGATTAAAATTTTTCAGAAACTAAAAATTGGCCTTGTATATTTTAAGCGAGGAAAATGTTCACATTGCGTCCCCTCTGTAATGAGCTATTATTCAAAATTGTAAATTGATGAGACACCTTATTAGAGAAGCAAGGGTAGAGGGAAAAATATAGTGTAAAAAACCAAATCATAACGAATTATGTAATAAATATTGCCATATTAAATATGACAAATCATATTAAAATAAGGAAAATATACGATCATCACATATTTTAGTTTTCATAATCCTATTCTTTGATTTTTAGAGTGTGATCATGCATGAGCAGAGTTTACCAGAGTAATTTAACCATCATTATAATTGTATTTATTGTTTTATTTTTTTCCTATGCTGTAGTCATTCGACCATCCAACATCTTGCTGCCCAGTATAAGTTTGATTTTTTTATATATTCATTCACAAATGTTTTATTTCTTATGTCTGTCGAAGCAGGACACGTGTCTAGGTGGTCTGCTTCCATTTTTGCTTGTTCACATAATTTACATCTAGGATCCTCAGCCATGCTTATCTTGTGGAGATGACTTTGTAGATAGTCCTGACCAGTGGCCAGGCGGAAGCAGGCTACTGCATCTCTTCTTGGCAGTTCAGCTGGGATCGGGTTTTCCACCAAACATCCATAACGTCTCCCTTCCACCTTGTCTTTGTGCATATTTTTTGTTTCCTCCTTCACTACCATCCTCACCATTCGTCGAATTAAATCGTAAGAATGGACTGTTTGAGGCAATTCTGCTCCTCTCCTAACGAGTCTATCTGCTTCCTCATTTCCTCGAATACTGCAATGGCTCGGAATCCACTGTAGGACCACATTGGTGCCTCAGAGTGTTAATGTGTTAGTGTGAGGAGAGATTTGCACTCCAAGATAGCACTTGACAGACATTTATTCAGTAATAGCGAGGATTGCTGCTTGAGAGCCGGCAAAGAGAACAGCGCTCTGAACTTGCCTTCCATAGTGTTCTTAGGACTATGAGGATTGCTGCTATCTCACTGTCAAAATTCGTACCATCCTTTCAGGGATGTATTTATAATAAAACAATTGTACACAATTATAAATGTATATACTGCAAATTTTATTACTTTTTGAATATAGAAGAAAAAATATTTATATTTCATATTATTAAGTTTCCCTTGATGTTTTCACTTCTATCGTGTGGTTTTAAGCATAGTCTGTAGTTTTTTCTATAACTCCGATGCATAAAGTAACTTTGAAATCATTTCATCACCTATATACAATATCATAGATTGTCAAAGCTTAACATATATAATATTTAATCTATGTGCTTCTTATACCATATTAAAATAAATACAAGATTACAGTTCTTTTCTGTTGCAATTTTTAGGGTGTTATACGTAAAACTGTATCTGATGATTTGGTTGAGAATATCTGGGAGCCAGTTCATATGGATAAAATTCTGCCATCGTTATTATTCAATATGCAAGAATCAGAGTAAGCGCAGTAGTTTATTTTACTTTCATGAAGTTTAATTTATTTTAATATGTTATTAAAGCCAGTCTCGACTTTTTATGCAGCTTCAAGAATACTTCTGAATCAGTTTGAAAAGAAATTGAAAATGTTATTTGAAACTTTTTCTTAAAATTTTGAAAAAGCTTTAAGGCACTCATACTTGATCAAACTGTTCCACAATTCTCCGTTTTGTGCTACTTTCCTTGTTGTCCATCTAACCGCCATATTTACTACAACTTGTGCATATCTCATTTCATTTTTGGCATTAACATTTGTAAGATAGATGTCAGATCCGGAAGTTGCTAGGGCCACAATTATTATCATTAATTATTATTTATCAATTATTATTATGCTAGTCTGATATAGAAAACAGAGGAAAGGATGTACTTTTAATGATGACCATTTGATTGAAAACAAAATAAAAACATTGTGAACTTAGTTTCAACTATTTGTTTACTTAAAATAGAGTTTATTTATTATGTATGCATTTTTTTGTGTTTCAAAGTCATAAACATTTAGTGTACTTGGAGAATTTTTTAAATAAATTTATGACAATGAATAACAGACCAACAGAAATTTTTATATTAAACATAATTCATGTCTCTATATTGGTATTTTTCACTATTATCTAATCATATTTTTGCATTGTGGCAATTTTTATAAAGTTCTTATCAAAATTCTTTATTTTTCTTCTAAAGGACATTTTTTCTTATGGTGAAGCAATTATTTGTATGAGCTTTTTGTCAAGCATTGTCAAAAAAAAAAAGTGAACGACCTTCTCTTGTCCAAAAATATTTCGGTCTCGACCAATTCACTTTAACGGTTATGCAACATGTCAAAGCATACACTGTCTAAAAAATGTCACAATGACAGTTTGTCATGAAACAGTTTGATCATGTGTGAAAGCCTTTAAATAATTTATAATTTGATGGTTAATTGATTTTCATTTCTTTGTTTTGAATTTCACATATAATTTTGTTATATATTTATAATAAAACTGGCTATCTTAGGGTGTAAGGATGGTTTTATACAGAATACTTTATCGGTTGTTTACATCGAACTTCCTACTGTACGGTAATGTTGTTTTACTTTTAAAATAATAGTAATTTTTTCTTCTTAATCTTATTTACCAGATTTAGTGGTTATTTGGAAGAGATTTTATATATATATTTAAACTTAATTAATTTAATTCTGTGGATAATAAGTAGTCATGATTTGCAGTCTAGATATGCTTTATTAGGATTGCCGATGTTTCGATCAAAGCATATGGATCATCATCAGGACTAAAAATTAAAAAATAAATAAATGAATAAACCAAAAATATAAGATATAAAAATATGAACATAACTAAGCCAAGATAAAAAGATGAAAAATAGACATGTGATAATAGCTATGTAAACCTAATAGTAACCAAAATATATATATATAAATGAATAATACAAATAAATAAATATCATTTAGAAATACATTTTATTGCCAGTCCGGTTTTATTATGTAAACTTTTTATTTATTTGTATTATTTATATATCTATTGTTTTTATTACCTAATTAAATAGACAAAGTTTGCTGACCATTGCTCCATATTGAAAACGTCCCAATCCCCAGAATTTTAGTAAATAATATATTTGTAGGTTATGATGAGATAAAGCTATTTATGAAGTTTCAGGCTGATGTTAATGATTTGAAAGGGATCTCTACTACATACTACCATATTCATACTATTATTATAAAGAAAAGAAGTACAGAAATAGTGCTAATTAATTGATTAAATGAATAGTACAAGTAAATAAATTTAATAAATAAGAAGTACGCACAAATCTACGGGGCCAAGAATAAATTTTATTTATTTAATTGTAATATCCGTTATTTAATTACTTGTACTATTTATACTGGGGGAGTTATTAATGGCCCCAAACTCTGTCTCATGTTTTTTATTTGGTAAAAAGGGAATTTCTGTAAAACTGTTCAAGATGATTTAATTCTAAGTACACCATCGTAAAGTAGACACAATTTTCTTAGAGAAAAGAGTGATTAAATTTACTAAGGTCAATGTTAAAAGAGACTTTCAGGAGGTCTAATAACGCAAAGCCTACCATTATGCCGAATTATTTCACGAATCGGTATTACAGAGATATGCTGCTCGAGTATTGGTACTGTAACTGCAGCGGTATAGTGGCCCTATAAGACCTCTTGGATAGTCCCTTTTATCATTGACATTAGTAAATTTAATCACTGTTTATTATAAAAAATGTTGTATATTTTACGATGGTGTACTTATAATTTAATCATTTTAAACAGTTTTTAAGCCACTCCTTCTTTTTCAATAAAAACCGTGACCAACTTAAAAACAACAACACAATATTGGTCTTAGCTCTTTTTCCGTTAAGAATCGGTCCATGCACCAAATGAACTTTTTTGTTAGACATTTTATCTAGGATCACCCTTCAGAGTTTGGTCATTAAGATTACCTTGTATAATTTTTTTATTATTTGTATATATATTTTCTTTGTGTAGTTTATATTACTATTACCTTGTGTTTACTTTCTATCTCTATCTTTTTATCTTGGCCTATATATCTGTTTACATCTTATATTTCTGTATGTATTTTTTAATATTATTTTTTAGCCCTGATAATTACCCACATGCTTCGATCAAAATGTCGGCAATCCTAATAAACTATTTGTTGATTCCAAATCCTGACTATTTATAATCTTCATTATTTTTAAATAACAATCAACAATAAATATATTCATCTCTAAATTAATTCAATTTTTTAAAATATTTCAGTATGGTAGATTGAATCAAGACCTTTTTTTATTTATATGTGTTAATTTGTGTTGTTCAGTTTTAGTTGTATTTCTCGCTGTTGTTAGGAGATACCCCGAAGTTGTAGGCTGCTGTAGCCTACTTCCATGTCACAATAAGCTGATCCAAGGTGTCGTAAGTCTGACCGGAGTACGTCAGGGGACGTAAGTTGTCATAAATTGCTAATAGACTACCGCTTTTGGATAGCCGAATTCCGCTGCTTGCCTTTTATTTTCTCAAAATGTATCAGAAGAGTTGAGTCGTTTGAAGGAGTTGCATGATTTGTTTTTGTCAAATGGTCATTCATAAAATTATCAGTGGAGTTAATCGTGAGCTGTTAGGGCTAGCCAGCTCCGATATCGAAGATTGTTCGTTTTTGTGCATGGTTTTTGTAGTTAAATATTGGAACATTGAATAGTGATGTAGTTTCGAAATTGTATCAATTGTTGGGTTTTAGTCCTATGACTAGTAATGGGATGTTGTTTTTGAATTAATGCAAAGAGCCAGTGCTTGGCTTATCATTGTATCTGATTGTATTGCATGCATTTTCAGTTTTTGGGTTTAAATTAATAAAACTGGAATATCTAAACAATTCATTAGTCAAAATATGCTCTATAATTCATTACAGTTCTTTCAAAAGTTCTTTATTTAATTTAATTATTTTTTTATTCCTTCTCATGAAAGTTTGAATTTCAAGAAAATATTAAACTCTAAAAGAAATCTTTTATTTTTCTGGTTTTGTTGAAAATTGTCTTAAACAAATAAAAAATAGCAATGCCAATATATTGTATTAGGTAATATAGTAGAAATCGAAATTTTCGTAGTGAAAATAGTGTTCATTGCATTAAAAATTTTAAAAGTATTATATTTGAAATATTGTCTATTGTTAGTGATACATTTTTACATCTTTCTGGCAATTTATGAATGCCATGCTTGAAAAATCTGTTGCTCTTTTGTGACAAACCACTCCTCAAGCCATTTTCATAAGTGGGGGGCGCTTTTGAGCAAGTTGGTGTTCCATCGAGGCATATAAATATTGGTCGGATGGAGCTATAAGTCTGGTGAGTAAGCCGCATGTTCTAATATTTCCTAACTAAACGCCTCAATCGTTTCCTTCACTGATTTTACTGTGTGTGATTACTTTTGCTGTAGGTGCATTATCATGAAACAAAATCACTTAGTGTTGTCTTATTTGATACTCTGGTCGTTTACCAAGAGCATGTTCACCGTAAAGCAGATTCAATATGAAATTTATGAAAGTCGTATTATTGTGAATTGAAAACCTTTGCAATCTGTCGAAGAAAACAAAATGGCACCAATAATGTAGTTTGATTATGAGTGTAACATATGGATGAATTTTGGTTTTATATTTTCATATCTGGTATATCTCTTCGCCTATGTATATTCTGTTATCACTTTCCCAACTGAGCTGTCTGGTAATGAAGTCCCTTTTTATCCTCTAGAGACGTATATGGATCTACCGGTATGGATGAATCTACGAAATAAACTTACAAACATCTCTCCACAAAGACCAGTTCCTTGATATCTTTGGCTGTGACAAAATTATCCCCTCGGTTTTCGTAAAATCTCTCTTATCTGAAGTGAATGTGAGGAGAGGTATTCTGCTAGGAAGGCCTATTCTGTATTAATTAACCTTAATTCCAGATATTTTATTTGGGTTTTAATGTTATTATTTTTTAACAACGGTTTTTCTAATATTATCTCCTTCTCAAGCATGCGATTCCAAAAAAATTAGTAAATCCAGTTAGGATTTGCTTGACAGAAACACTCAATAAACTTAGAATTGGTAATTATATATCCGAATAGTTTGAGGTTCGTTCTGGTTTAAAACGAGATGATTTCCTTTTACCCGTCCTGTTTACTTTGGTATTAGAACATACCGTTAGGGAAGTAATGTTTACCGAAAAAAAGTTGAATCAGGCTGGGATAACACCCATGCTTGGCTATGCGGATGATTTGGTCCTGTTAAGCAAAGATACAGAAACTATAATATTAAATTCGTCAACGTTAATGAAAGCCAGTAAAGAATAAGGCTTGAAATTGAAACTCGGATAAGACAAAATATATCGTTAGCTGCAAAAATGGTGATAATTCTGGTGATATCGATATTGAAAGGAATATGTTTGATCATGTAGAGAAGTTTAGGTATCTAGGATCTACGACATCGAGAAAAAACGAAATTGAAGAGGAGATTAATGTTATGTTAAAAGCGGAAAATGCTAGTTATTTTTCTGTGACAAAACTACTTAGCTCATGCATCCTGTCCCATCCATCCATAAAACCATTATCCTAACTGTGGTTCTTTATGGATGCGAAACGTGGTCACTCGCATCAAGAGATGAGCAACGTCTTAAAGTTTTTGAAAATAAAGTACTGCATGGAATATTCGGATCGAAGAAGGATGAGTTTACTGAAGAGTTCAGACAGTTACACATTGCCAAATTGCGTAAATTGTATCTGTTAATATAATTGAGGTACCGCTACCCTGAAAGGCACTACAGGGTGATGCAAAAGAAGAAGAATATAATTGAGGTGATTACATTGCGGGGAATTAAATGGGCTTGTAAATGAAAGAATTCCTGAAAGGTTACTACTTGCTGTGCCTACTGGTAAATGTCCAAGGGGTAGATCGAAGCGAAGGTGGAAAGATTGCGTTAAGGCCAAGCGGAAGGGGCAGGGTTTGGACAGCGGCTGGTGGAGAGAGCTGTATAAACAGTGATTGGTGGTGTTGGCATCCAACCTTCGGGTTCGCTAAGCCTATTATTATTATTATTATTATTATCTCCTACTTCTTCATCAATCGCTCTGAGTTGGAATGACAAATTTGTTTTTCTTCAGTGCATTTGAAGTTCTTGATGTCCATCACTAATGTTACCAAAATCATACTTGAATCAGAACCCAAGAGTTCACTGCCTTACCCATTAAGCTAAACCAATCCTGTCCTCATTTGATTTTGATAATTCATATTTTAGAGCATATTTTGAATAATTTATATATTAAGTTTATTCTTTTTCCATTAAAATTATCCTTAAAACTGAAATTCCATGTGATAGAACCAAATTCATCGCCTTCATGGCTTCCATTATTCTAGGCCTAATCAAAATAGAAAAAGAATTTGGGTAGATAGGAGTAGTAAACTAGAATCCTATAAAAGCATGCATGGCATTTTTTCGCCTGCATATACGATATGAGTTGGTTTGAAAATCATTTGTATAAATTTTGTGTATTAGGAGAATTTTAATTCTCATTTAGGTTGGTTGCATGTGTGATATGAGTTCTGGTTAATGTACAGAGTGGAAACTTAATTTAAACTATTCTAGGGGTTTGGTAACTTTCGTTCCAAACTATTTCAGTTGTCTGTTTTCCAGGTTTGGTTCTCCATGGTACTTCATTTTGCTTCTTGATATTTTAATGTTTCATGTAGTCTCCTTGTTTTTTCTGTTTTTTTGCGTAAATATTTCACTTTGTGACCATTTATTGATCCACCAGCTCTCATTGAGGCAGGCGAGGATCAGAAGATATATATTGATTTATAAACCTTTAAGTGAAAACTTCATTAGCCGTGTTTTACACTTTTTTTGCGGAGGGTGAATGAGATTTAGCTGTAAGATCTCCGATGTGTAAAGCTAGGATAAAGGCAGCTGGAGTTGATTAATTGAAGTGTTTTTGCATATGGATTAAAATATCTCAAAAACTAAAAATCGGATCTCCATATTGTCAGTAAGAGAAATGTTCATCATTTCGTCCTGTTTGTAATGAACTATTATTCAAAATTGCATCTTAAAGCAAAGCTGTGGTAGAGTTGCGAAAACAGAAAAAATATTGTCAAAAATCAAATGATAATGAGTTTTATTGAAGGTATGGATTAAAATATCTCAGAAAATAGAAATTGGACCTGCATACTGTGAGCGAGGGAAATGTTCAGCATTTCATTCTCTTTATAATGAATTATTATTTATATTTCATATTATTAATCTCGTTGATGTTTTCACTTTTAACATGTGGTCTAAAGCACACCTTAGTATTTTGAATAATTCTCATAGTATGATTCTGTGTGTCATTTTAGCTGATAGAAGAATTCTGAACCTAAGTTGAGGAATGAATAGTTGGGTTTCAGCAGAATTGTATCTCCTCAAAGATTTACTAAATTCAGGGATATAATCCAAATTCTGAGATGTCTTCATTAGTTGTTTTTTTTTGCTGTGTTTGGAATTTAAATTTGTCTTGCTTTGGCGGGACTTTTTTATATGTTGTAAATCTTTTAAATGGAAGGTAGATCATTTAATATCAATAGCTATTTAGCTGTAGAGAAAGAAGAAAAAGTTGTCAATAAGAGAAATTTGTTTCTTGTTGGATATTTAACATGCTAACAAAACTACATTATTTTTAACATTTTTCTTATTACGCGGACTTACAGAATTAATTTTGTTAGGTTGTGACGAAGTGTTTGTTGCTTCAGAGTGGATCTTGAGCATGTAGAATGTACTGAAACTGTCCCATCTTGTCTTTGTTCACTCTCTCCTCGCTAACTTATCTAGTCTTCTGCCTAATCTATGGGTTCGAAAAGGCTTGAACCAAAACAACAATAATTCTCACTAATCTTAACCTCTAATCCTCATATTTTTTAAATATTTGTATTTTGATTTCATTATCAGTGATATCTTTATCCAGATTTACTTTTGCCATGTTTTTGTTTGGATTGATAAGATAAACTTTCACTATAGATCATTTTGTAAATTAGCGAAATTGTTACTTAGCTAAGTTTAAACTGAGATAATCCTTCTCATTCGTTCTTCAAGTCAACTTGTCTAAGCTGTCTCAATGACCTTTTCAAATATTTCAGCTTAATTTTTTGGTTCCGTAGATATTATAAAGGAGGTAACGGAACAAGAGATGACAGAGATCCTAATGAACCAGGGGTACTCGCTGATACATGTATTAGAGAACTTGTTGGACGAGCATCGTTTGGCCACGTAGGCAGTCTTCTTCGCCCCGTTCTCAGGTATAGTAACTGTATATATATTTTTACAAAATTGCTTATTTTATTTGTTTCTCGTTTAGGTTCCCAAATATTATGATTTTCGATTACCCGTTCAGGGAGCCATATCTAATGATAACATTTTTTTTATAACTAATTAAAACCAGATTGAATAAAATTAGACATATTTCTCCCTCAGATTCAAAAATTATAAATTAAAAAATTTAAAGATTTCCTAAAATGAAATAGTGATATCATTAGCCTGAATACAGGTAAAACTAAAACAAAAAAGTAATAATTTATAAATAATAATAATAAAATGGTTAGCAAACTAAATGATAAATACTATAATATCAATGTATAAGTAACAAAACTCTTTTATTGTTATAAAACATTAGGAAAAAATAGAACATTATAGATTTTTAATGACAATATTAGGAACAATAAAAAAAAATAATATCTCTTGATAATTCAATTTATAATTTCAGAAGATTCCAAATCTATTGGGTTTATTAGCACAACAATACAGAATGAACATCGTGGTGAAGCTCGCATTTCATAAGTCACCTTTATTAACATGATAAAAAAATAATAATTTAATTAATAAGCGTGTGGCACCAATGAAGATTTTTAATAGATGAACCATTATACATATTTAGTTTTTATTAAATTATCTAAATCAATGGCCTCCCTGATTCAATCCATCATTCACAATATCACCTATGAAAAATTAAAAAATTAAAATGAAAAAATAATTTTATTCCGAGGCTATAGTCCTCTAAGAATAATAACAGTGTTACAAATTTATGGGTATTAGTCTGGCTTAAAATAATAAAAAATTCAAGCTAATATACTGCTTATTGTTATTGCAGTTGTGCAATAGTTGACATTACACGGTATACTGATACAAGTAATTTTACATATTAGCGAAAGTTTGAATATGGAGCAGGTGGTGGAACAGGAGTTGTTTGAAGGAGTTTATGGACGAGGATTGACGTTTGGAGGTTGGAAGAGAGTTCCATAAGGAAGCAGCATGAATGACGACGGATTGCTGAAGGAAGTAGTTTTATGGGGGAGGATATATAAATCTATAGGTTGAGATGTAGTATTGCGAGAGTGGATAGAGGAGCGTAGAGTAAGGAGTTCCAGGATGTAGGGAGGGTTTTTGGTTCTGAAGACTTGGAAAAGGAAAACATCAAGGAGGAATTGTCGTCGGGAAGTAGGATAAAGCCACTTCAACTCAGCGCACCAGAATGATACATGCGAAAGTCTGGGGATCCCAAAGATGTATCTTATAAAACAGTTCATGAGTTTCATATGCTGACCTATATGACTTCCAGATCTACCAATCCTTTCATTCTTCAGAGATTCTTCAGGTGACCTGAAGGCTTCAAGAAGATATAGTCAATATTAACGCATGAGTAGCTAATAATGATTTCAGGCTAAACAGTGAGAAGACCAAAGCCATTCTCATTGGGTCTAAGCATCTTCTTAGTTCTCTTTCTTATTATCCCATACTCTATTACTAATTGAAACCTTGGAATAATTTTTGATCAAGACCTGTCCTTGGATCACCATGTTTCTCGAATTATCAGAAAATCTATCGCTACTCTTAAACAGTTTTTGAGATTCTATCCCTCTTAAAACCCGTCAGCTTCTAGTTTCCTCTCTTGTTTTTCCTAACTTTGATTATAGCTGCCTTACATACGGTGGACTGTCTTGTGGTTAGATTGAAAAGGCTAATGAATTCATTAAATTCATCTGTGGAGTCTCCAGTTGGGATTCCGATTTGAAATGACTATATCCAGTTTCTCAACAGCGATATTTCTTAGGTACATTCCTTTTCCGAATCTTTACAACCAAAAATCTTCTTACCTTATTCCCTTATTTACTCCCTGTTCCTCTGTCTATTGTTTCTACATGACATTCCAGCCCACAAACTTGTATATTCCTTCTCTTAAGATAGTATATTTTGAAAAATTCTTTACAATGTATCCTATTTTGTTTTGGAATTCCTTATCCATCCCCATACGCAAAATTTGACTTGATTCAAAAACTAATTGTTTCGCCAGCTTCTCAGCCATTAATCTTCCAAATATTTATAAGAATTAAAGGAAGCAGATGGTCCGGGGTTGCGGTCATAAATAGGCTCAATAGTGGTAAAACTATTTAGCCTATTTATGACCGCAACCCCGGACCATCTCCTTCTTTTATAATGCAACGGTCAACTATTAAATATTCATTATAAGAATTAAATATGTTACCAATCTTATTCTACTGTTTATTCACAGTGATTATGTATATTGCTTACCATGCAAATATGCAAACACTTGGACATCTATTTATCTATAATTTCATCATGTTATGTGTAATTTAATGTAGTGCTGTATTTTAATTTTAATATTACACAACTTCGTAACCTAATTATTATTTGCCAGCCATTGCGTGCCAGTCAAATTTGTTATAATGTGATTGTCATAGTTCATGTTTGTTATTCTTAGGGGAATAAACGTCCCAGAAGAAAATTTACTAGCTTTCTTCTTCTGCTATGTTATTTGCCTACTTATTATTGTGTTTGTTCGAATATTACCAACTTTGTTATAATGAATTTCTTGTCCCTTTAAGTTCATTGTGCTGAGGGTTTGCTGTATTAACAACAATTTAAAACAAAAGAGTATAATCAGCTCTTCACTTTTTGATTACAGGTCCGATTTAATAAATATCTCTATTATATCAAACCTGTATGTTTGATGTTTGTTTTAAATATTTTTTATAAATAAATTTTCTTTTGTTTTTATTGTATTTTTTTCAATAGATTTATAGATAAAAAGTAAGGAGAAGATACATGAAAAAAAAGTCACAACTAGAAACTAAAAAATAATATAATTCACCGATAATTTATTACTGATTTAGTAATTAATAAGTTATTTTCCTTTTTCCATTTTTAACCTTTTTTATAAATTATCTTTTTACTATTATTTGCCTGTAGATCAATCTAATAAATAATCACACTTAGTTTTTGATTATTATTCATTAATAAATGTTTTGGAGAATCACTGTCCCCTTCTTCAGCATCTAAAACTAAACAATTGATATATGTATATATATATATATATATGTGTTTCTGCTTTCAGGCATTTGGACCAGCATAGTCTTTGGGTTCCAAATGAATTCGCCGTGCACACCTTCCGAATCATCATGTCTTCTATTCAGGTAACCTGCATCTGTTAATCATCATTAACCAATCTTATCAGTGACTAATGATTAATTATAATTTAACTTACATTGCTATGTTCTGTAGCTTTCCTTCACTGACATTTCTCTGACTGGTAAGGTGACATAAAGATATTAATATCAATATATATGATTAAAGAAACTGAGCTAAGCGGTCTTCAAATGAATTAATATTAAGCAAAATACATAATCGTAAGCCCAAATATCCACACTAACAACATCAGTGCAGAAGGGAAATTATTCCCAAGAGTAGATAAATTCAAATACCTAGGCTCCACAATAACTTCAACGGATGACCAACGGTTAGCAATAGACTAGCGTATAAAAGTTTTCTTCTCTCTTCCAAAGGTATTGAAATCCTGAAAATTTCTAAAAACCCCAAATTGAGTGTAGAACAAAAACTTTTTTCGGTAGACAACTTTCTAATACCATTGCAAAGTTTTCTTTTTATGTCAACACTACAAATTTTTGGTTTTCTTTAGTTATATTGAGTGAAGTTTCTCAAGACTCTTAAAAATAAGGTTTTTGTACAAACAATTTAAAATTTTCTCTACTTTAATTTTATTTTTTTTTTTGCTCAAAAATTATTTTTAATAACTACCGATAGATCCTTCTTTACTATAACAACCATGATATGAAGTTAGAGTGCTCTAAATTTATACCTTCATTTTCACAAAATTTATGAGCTTCTTCTTTATCAGTTGAATTAATTTATTACATTGTTTAAAATAATAATGTCTAAAACAACAGAGTAATAATAATTAACTTACCAACAGTTTTGAATTTTAAAGAAAGAAATTTTAAAGACTTTTAAACTTTTAAAGAAATTTTATCAGGATACTGAAAGTTTAAAAAATTCAAAATTCTAAAAATTAAAAAAAAAGAAAATCAGCTATCTATTTAAATTTGTAATTTTTGATTTTTCTAAAAATTTGTGTTTAAGAGTTTTAAAGGACACTGACTGACAAGTCTAACTTGGTTTTTCATAAAAAGAATTTAGTCAGCCTATCTTACTGGATTGGTAAACCGTTAAATTAGTTTTTGTAATTTATGATTCATTATAACTCATTATACTGTAGGAAATATATTTTCTTATTCTGTTAAAAAAATAAATTGATTGTTATTTAATAATCTAGAAATCCTTGCAAAGCAAAGGCACAAAGAAAAATATATATATTTTTTTAAATTATATTAATTTTTTTTCTCAACTTCTAGGGCCCATTGGAATAAATGTTTGAGACCTGTGTCTAGTATTTTTTTTATGCAGTATCACCAAAATAAATTGAATTGAAATTGACGCCCCCCTGATTGTGTTCTACCCTTTTAGTTTTAAGCTTGATTATTACTCTTGAATCTTCTTTTTTTTTTTAAATTTTATTTATATTTACATTATAGACCCAGTATTCATATGCAGTTGTTGAGAATTTGATGTCACATCTTGATTCAAATATCAACAGCTCAGCTAAGATTCGAACAAGTATTGTCAATGTTCTGTCAAAGATCATCGCCATTTCAGCTGAAGAGAGTGTTGGTAAGATTTTTTTTTCTATCTCTCTAATTTCTCAAAGTTATTTTTATAAATTTATAACTCATTATTGTTTCACTTTTAGGCCCATCTGTTTTGGAGATCATAAACTCTTTAGTCGGGCATTTGAAAAATTCTGTTACGAAACGTGAAGACTTTGGTGAAGAGATATATAGGGAAGCTCTGATCTCTTGCTTGGGAGAATTCAGCGCTCATTTGCCTGATTACCAAAAGGTGGAAATAATGGTATTCATCGTGTCGAAAGTGCCAGTTGGCGATGTATCTGGTCCTGAGAAGCTCTTGCAGGAGATGCTTCTTAAATCATTGCTGATTGTAAGTGTGTGTTGTTATTTATAATCTAAAAAAAAATGAGAATGAATATTATGATTGTTTGGTATTAATCCATTTTACATTAGTGAATAATGCAGGATTTTGGTTTAAAAAGAAAAAAAAGAAAGATTTACAACTGTTTTCTTTAATCAAAATAGTCTCCACTACCAATACTATCAATACATTTCTGCTAACATGTTGCCAACTTTTCCATTTCCTCGGAATAGAATTTTCTCATATATAGAATTGATAAACTCCAAAAGCGAATTTTCTAATTCCCTTTGTTCGCAGAATTTTTTGTCTCGTAAGTAGTGGTCCAGGTGTCTAAAAAAAATGATAATCTACAGGCAAGAGGTCTGGAGAGTAAGGCGGATGTGGCACACTTTCATATCCAAGCTCCAACAGTTTTTGTGACATCTCATGTGAGACATGTGGCCGGGCGTTGTCATGAAACAAAACGGCGGGCCCCTTCCGATTGACCAAATATGGCTTCATTATTGCCAATTTCAAAAGCATTGCATTAACTGATTACAGTATGATTCGGCATTGATGGTTTCTACAGGATTTAAGAAGCTGTAGTGTATCAAACCAAATGAAGCCCACCAAACAAGATGAACATCACCTGTTTTTGATGAGTTGGGGGCTTTGGAAAATGTACTGCTGCTTCTCCTTTGTCGAGCCACTGTCCAGAATGTCTACTGTTATCATAAAGTATCCACTTTTCATCACAAGTAACATTTCTGGACAGAAAAAGGTTGTTTTTTTTTTCGGAAAGAAGTGTAGCACAAACTTCATAATGCTGTTTTTTTGCGGTCGTTTAATGTGTGTGGAACCCAACTTTCAAGCTTTATTCCTTTCCAAATTACTTGATGTGGTCTTTAACCTTCAATTTGCTAAGGTTAAGTTTAAGTTTCCCTGAAATTTCTCAAACAGTTGTTCTGGGGTTATTCTTCCACCAAAGTCTACAGAACACCGTCATCAAGAGAGGAAGTTTTTCCACAACCTTTTTTGTCTTCGAGGCTGAAGTATCCCTCCCCAAATTTTTTGAATCACCCTTGAGCAGTGATCTCATTAATGCTGCACTCGCCCCAGACTTCATTGATGTTTCTGTCCGTCTGGGCCCCATTCTGGCCGAGTTTTAACCCCGTAAAACAAAATTATACGAAAATCACGTGTTGACATCTTAGTAAAGACTGAATTATTTCTAAGCAGAGAAATGCTACAGAAGTAGACAAACATTATCGTTTGGAAGAGGATTAATAAGTATTGACATTAATACAAATGAATAATCCAGTAAACGTAAACAATTTTTTATATTGGGGGGTATTTTAAAGAAAACTCAAAATTCTGCATTATTTTCTGGACAACCCAATACGTATTTCCATATGATTATCATTTGGTCACTGACCAATATACTATTTGAATAATTCACCCGGGTTAACTAGTTTGTTTAATTTTAGATGGAGATTTTTAAATGATTTGATTTTGGAAAACTTAATTAATTTAATTAAAATTGATTATATTAATTTGAATTAAAAATATATTTAAATTAATAAATCAATATTTATGATTTTTTCTTTGTTATTATAGATCAGTAAGAAATACACTAATGTTTCCATGACTACAACTTTTCCCGTTTTATTATTGGAACCGATGTTGCGTCTATGTGGAAATTTAGAAATGACCACATTAGTACAGGGGGTTTTTCATGCTTTACTCGACCGACAAGGAAACTTGGAGAAGCTTAGAAGGCCACGGTGTGTATCTTATGTTTAATTATTCAGATAAATAATTAAATAATCATCTGTCACAATTATAACAATGATAATTGTTATTGTTTTAGAATATACCCAATGCATCTGAAAACTGAGCCATGTTCCCGGGCAGATACAGTATTTATCAGGTTATGATAGCAAATTTTTATATTAATACTGATATGTTCTTAATTATAATTTATTCATATATTTATTTTTCCTTTTTTTTTTTTTCAAATCAGAAAGTATGGAGAGGACATATATGGTAGGATATTAGATGCCATGTCACTTCCAGGCAACTCACTTCGTACTTATTCTTCTCTCTATACAACGTTGGCATTGGTTGCGATTGAACTTATTTCCCTATCTAATATAACTTCGTATCTCACTGCTGTTTACAGTATACAAGTAAGTCACATTTTCTTATTTGATATTCCATATTAGTTTTATTAATCTTATTTACTAGAAAAATGTTAATGAAGAAAATATTTATTTAAAAAAATAATTAACACTTGTATACCTTCACATTAAGTAGCTACTCCTTTCCTAAATGTATTTAAAGTATAAGCGAGATCAGCAAAACATGTTTATTCCTTTATACAACATATCGTCATGATAGTCCATCCAGCACAAAAGTAACAATTTACTTAATTAGTTATTAACTTGTCACATTGGAAAATATCTCTTCATGTTAATAATGAATGAATGAAAAATAATTTTATTCTGGTACTAAAGTCTCCTTAGAATAATATCACAGTTCAAAAAATGTGTACATCAGTCTGGCATGTAGACATAATATAAATATGTACAAAAAATACTAAGAAAAAAATAAATAAATAAAAATAAAATGTCTTTTATCAATTAACTGTTGGTAAATAGTTGTAATTACATAACCTAAAAATTCTTACAACTTGCAGAATTTTGAATGTGTAGTAGGTGGTAGAATAGGAGTTGTTTGAAGGAACTTGTGGACGTATTAAGAAATATACAACTAATAATAAATGTATTAAGTTAAATTAAGATTTTGATAAATTATTATATTTTATTATTTCATTACTTCTGTTGGTTTTAATTTTGTTGTTAAATAATATTAAGTTTGTAAAATTGAAGAAATTAAAAATAAAAATCATTTTTTCATTTAGGAAGTCGCTACAACACAGGCAAGTCTCTCTACTAAGCAAAAGTTTCACCTTCATTCCATCTGTATTACTCTCCTTCACTTGATTCTTAGCATCCTTCAGATACAGCCTCTCGGAGATTATTGTGATAAGGTAAGAGGATTTTCTATGAGAATATAGAAAAAGGAGGCAAAGAGAATATTCAGTATCAGTTTTATTAAATCTTTTCTTTTTGTTAAAGATAATTGAACAGAGAAAGAATCGGGCACCACATCTCTTACCTGACTTGAAGGAAGATTATGGAAACACATCACCTGATATAGAAGTTGAACTGCTTCTTGATCAAAATAAATTGGAGTCCATGTTGAGAGAGTCTGGATTAGATACCGGTGTTCTTACAAGGGCATTGACTCATAGGTAAATGGTTCTAAAGTCTCTTTTAATCAGTTTTCTTGACCAAAGCTTTGTCCTAGAAATTATAGGTAAATACTGAGGTGGTTTTTTGTTATTTGCATGACAAATTGATGAATAAATTTCCATTTACTTCAACTCTGTACACAGAGTGTCCTATAAAAAATGGGAAATATTTAAAGGAGTGATAGTAAATATCAAAAGCAACAAAAAAAAAATATATATATATAAGCATTGTAGATGGTTTATCCACTTGAAGTTATTAGTGTATACACAGTTTAAGGGACTTCATCCAAGAAGCTTAACTGTGTACTGAAATTTTTGTCTATGGCCAAATTTTAAACTTTTCTGTCACACATTCTAATTATAAACCTTGAATTTTTTTTTTTTTTTTTTTTTTTGATCCATATTTGATCCATATTCCATATCCATATTTGATCCATGCCCCCATGCCCCTAAAAAGTGTCTCAAGTGCAGCATTTTTATGCAATAACGATTATGCAAGCAAGTGATTTGACAAATATCATATACAACTATTAAGAATTTCTCCTTAATTATTTAATTAAGAGTACCTAGTTTAGTAAAGTTATGCCCATCTCCTGATCCCGATGTAGTAGAATCTTGACTGATGTAGGAGAGTAAATAATTATCTGCCACAGCTGGGCTCAAACCCAGGATGAGGAGAATTGGAGCACAGAGCCTTTACCCAACAAACTACCCCTTCTAGCTATGAAGAACTTTTTTCATAAAGAGCTGATTTCATATTAAAAATGGACACATACTGTAATGACTGAATATGAATTAACCTCTACTAACTGGCCTATGAAAACCTTTTCCTTATATTTAATTGTGGAAGGCCTGGACATTATCAGAAGGTTATAGGACTCCTTTCATTCCTGTCTAAAGACTTTTGCTATACAAAACCATTATAATATTATATTTGATGGTATAAAAATTATTTATTTTTTTTATACGCTTAATATTTGTTGAGACATTCTCCCGTGTCACACTTTTATGGCAAGTTCAAGTGACTTTTTCCTCTATCCACTAAGAACGCTTTCTTGGACCTTATCTATTCCAAACAATCAACTCCCAGCGACTTTCCTATATTTATATTTTACTACAATTGAAATCAGTAGTCCACTCACAGGAAACAAGACCTGTAGATAAGAAAAAGATAAGTACCAATTCTTTTTTTTTTTTTTTTTTTCAATTATATATATTTTCTAGAAGTTTTTATTCATTGATTGTTACTGAAGATATTGTATATATTGTTTGAATTTTTGTTGATGTAGTTTTTGGCCACATATGTTTTTGTTTTGTTGTTAAAATTTGTTATTCTATTCCAGTGATTGTTTCTATCTACATTACTTAATCATTAAGCTTAGCTTAGTTTTAACTCCTGTAGCTCCCAATGAAGCAAAGGGCCTTAACGAACAACATCTCTGTCACCAGCTAGCGCCTTCAACTCCTTCCAAGTCTTTCCTGCTTGGTTCGCCTTATTCAGCTTGAATATCTTTCAGGGGAAACGAGGCCTTCCTTTTCAGCCTTCTTTTTTTCTGCAAGCTCTAAACCTTCCAACCTCTGACTTACTGTCCACTGAGTTCTCCACTTCCATCGACCCAGTACCCTCATTATAGCGTCGAGCGCGATGATAAGTAGCATTGGAGACAGTACGCACCCCTGCTGCACACTAAAATCTGTCTTGATAGGAGCTAACAGTTTCCTTTCATATAGAACCCTGCAGTCGAAGTCCCTGTTCATCTCCTTGGTAATTATAATGATTTTCAGAACTCAGCACTAGCGGATCCAGGATTTTATTTTGAGGAGCTTTAGTACGAAAGCTTTTTTTTTTCATAAAAATAATGATAATTACTTTGAAAAAAAAAAAGAAACTAACTACCTATATGAAATAGTGTTTAAGTGATTCCTAAAGTCTTTTTAAATGCAATTACACGAACAATAATACTTTAAAAGACAATTTTTTTCCATAAAACATGTTATATATTACCATTTTTGGGGAGGGAGGGGCTTCAGCCCCTCCATAGATCTGCCAGTGGAACTCAGTACTTCTCCAGGGTAAGCCACATGTACTCCCTGTTTACCGAATCAAAGGCCTTCGAAGTGTATGAAGGCTAATTATAAAAAAGACCGCCATAATCAGGAAATTTATTACAAATTAATATTTTCTAGAAAAATATTAGTAAAACCATTCCAGTTTATTATATTTAATATGCGAAATAATTTTAAAATTTGGTGCTTTCAGGCATTCATGGGTCGAAAATACCAGTGTATCTATGAAAGGAAGTGTTACAGATTTAAATAATTTGGACCTAGATTCTGCTAATTCGACTCCTGGACTCCAAAGAGTAAACAAATATATTATTTTTAAAATATATTAAATTTATGTTATATTTTTTATATTGTTGTGTGATTTTTTTTTAATGTAAATTGCAGAAGTATCCTGAGGAAGAGCTCAGCTTTGAGGCAATGAAGCGAATTTTGAGTGACAATAATGAGCAGAGGAAGGCTGAAAACAGGCGAAAGCAAGCTGAGCTCTGCCTGGCCTTCCGAACGACGGCTTTTAGTGAAATCGTAAATAATAACACCGTCAAGGTTTGTTAAATAATATTTTAAGTCTTAATAAATTATTAAATGTTAACACAAGACTGATTTTTGTGTTCTCAAAGAAAACTGAAATAACCAGTGTTAAAATAAAATAAAAATAAGCAATTAAGTATTAAAATCAACAAGTGAAACTACAAACATGTATATTCAATAAAAAAATTCCGGTTTCATATTTTCACACCAAGTAAGCTATTAAACATTAAAATCAACAAGTGAAACCCAAGCTTTCGTGAGAGGAGGTTTCAACTTACTGCAGCTAATAAAACTTAAGGTGGTTTGTACAGAGGTCCCTTCACTCAAGATTAGAGGTAACCGTTAATAGCATAACATGATAAGAATTTACAAAAAATTCCTTCAATACCCCTAGTATAATTATTTCTCTGTAAGTATACTTCAATCTTTTTATTTTATTTTTTCAACTTCTTCGTTATAGGATGAAGATACTCTGCAGACAAAGCTGATGGAACTACTGCAGAAGAACTTACCTCCTGTGAATCCTCTTCCTTTACAAACTGAAGGGCCTATTTATGAAGTGCTGTTTCCGGAATTATTCGCCTATTGAGTATTTCTTCCAGTTAATCAGCTTTCTGTTTTTATGTGTATAGTCTGTAACTTCTTTTTGTACAATAATTTGTTGATTTTTTAATTTATAATAAATATTTTATTTGCTGTTTTCTTTCTTGCTTGTTCTTCCCTAAAATAAAGCGTGCACTTGTTATAACATTATTTTTTAGCATCTTTAATCATAAATCTCTTATCGATACAAGAGGAATTACAATTGAAGAGGGAATGTGGTATACAACAGTTGTGCTGTTTTTTGAGAGGGATATAATTTTTTGGAAGTTCTGCTGCTCAATTTTTTTTTCCTAGTGTAAAATAAGTTATTTCTTATATAACTAACAACCCTGCCCAAGTGATAGTGACTGATTTATCGATTTGGTTGGCGTCTGCCACTAGGTTTGACTGCTTGTTCCTTTCTGTACTTCAAAATTTAAAAAAAAACAATAAGTCAATTGGCCGCATTATCGCATAAAGCGATCTGCAATAGACTGGAGAGATCTGGAATCAAAGTACTGAAACATGGAGAAGAATTACCAATAAAAAGGAGCTTACAGAAACTGGAATCAATATCTCATGATATGAAAGTTTTGTCACAGAAGAACTCCTTAGCTCACCCCTCTTGTCCCGGAACTTCAAAATTAGAATCTATAAAACTATTGTCTTACCTACAGTTCTTCATGGTTTCGAAACTTGGCCGCTTACATTAAGGGATGAGCAACGTCTTAGGGTTTTTGAAAATACAGTATTGCGTAGAATATTCGGACTGAAGAAGGATGAATTGCATGAACTGTATCCAGGTAATATAATTGAGGTGATTTTATCCCGGCGAATCAAATGGGCATGTAAAATTGTTGGGCTTAGTAACAAGAGAATTCCTAAAAGGTTAATATTTGCTGTTCCAAATAGTAAATGTCCCAGAGGTAGACCAAAGCGAAGGTGGGAAGATTGCATTAAAGCCAAACTGAAGGGACTAGGTTTAGACAGCGAACGGTGGAGGGAGGTGTGTAATAAGCGATTGGTGTCGGCATCGAACCTTCGGATTCGCTAAACCTTTTATTATTATTATAATTTATAGCTCTTCTTAATGTTAAAAGTCTTTAACCTTACACGAAACTGTCGTCTTTGATTTGGAGAAGATTAAAGAAATACGTAGAGAGGATAGTGGAATTATTCTCCCTCAGACTTTATCCCTTATATCTTTATAAGGGATGGTACTTTATCTTTATAATATTTTTTTTGTTTAATAGTTTTACCTATAAAAGAATGGGACATGATCCAGCAAACTTGACTTTGGCACAGTCTTCAGTTAGCATTTGTTTGATATATAAATCATTTAAATAAGATTATGTATATGACACCTGCAACTGATAGCTTCCAAATGGTCAGAAACCGTGAATGCACCAACCAAGCCATAAGGCGAACGGTGGAAGCAAGGCTTGCCTCTTCCTTTTGAAGTGGCGACATACAAGCCGGGAAGGCGGTGTTTTGCCATTTTTCTTATATTTCCAAGTGTGTTGCTCCTTGGAAAGATTACTTACCAATCGATTCTGCTTAAAAATTAGGTACCTTAATCATTTTCGTCCAAAGCTGATAAAGCCGGCATTTCTCATATCCGTCGCTATTAGTGAATCATTAGACCAATGATGTAATATGTCAGCTTATGATTACAGTGTTTGCGATCGGCACTGGTCGATATACCACTGATAGATATATTACTAAATACTGTTTTATTTTCACTTAGGTTTTATCTTTCATGGGGAGAGCCAACATTTCTCCAGCCATGTTTAACGATTGCATGATTGAAAAATCTCTTCTTAATGTGTGTGTGCCATCGAAATGGCTCGGTGTGTTTCCCTTCACCATGAACAACAAAGGATTCTTTCGAGTGTCCTTGCCTCGGTCTGTTTCATATGTTGCGGTTTTATTTTCAGCCGTTGCTTTAATTATAATAGTTTTTGATTTAATGACAGAAGAAGGTTCTTGGATCTCTAAATTTGTCTCTGTTATAAGTTTTTTATTTCATAGTTCGTACCCATTTGTGTCCACTAGTGAATTATTTATGAAATTGAAGCATCTCAATCAATCCATAGCAAAACTGAAGTTGGCTTGCACAGTTTTATTTCCAGCTCGGAATTCTGTATTTTATCATACTAGAAGTTACCTCCTCACCAACATTATTATATCTTTTTCAGTTTGTATCTATAATATCAATTCTATTGATTCATTCGTTTTGAAAATCTTTATCTTTCTTGTTCTCACCTTTGCGCAGACGTGTCTCGAACTAATCCTAGTCGACAGGTTTTCTGGCTTACTAGTAATAGTGACATCATTGTTCAAATTGTGTAACTACGAACTCTCATTGTTGCCTGCATCAACATCATCAACGAAGGTGAAGAGGTTGGAAAGATTGGCTTGGGCCCATAATAAGCTATGTGATTGTGCACAACTAATTTCAGAAAGCCACAGCTTTCAAATATTTTTCATTATATATGCTTGCCTTTTTGTTTGGGTTGTACATTGTCATGCTATAATCTTTATAATAGCCAAAGGATCTTGGAGCATAACTTCTCTGCTGGCTATCCTGGCCGCCTTTACTGTTTATTTTAACATAGCTTGGAAAATCGTTGATACTTGTGAGAAGTGCAAAATCGAGGTAAATATTAATTTTTGGTGTGGTTACTGCTATGAGATATATTTGCTTATTCTATTACTAATTTGAAAAATATATAATTTTTATGATTCATTTACACTAGCTTACAATATGCTACACAGGATTCACGGTGTGGTATTTTATTTTATAATCATTGAATTAAAAGTTAGTATAATTAAAAGAAAAAAATAAAGTTCCATCACCTTTATTTATCCGTGGATCTAGAGCCATCACCCGGTGCTGAGAAAATATACGATATCACAAGATTATATTACACAATGGTGAAAGTAGAAAACTATACCCAGAGAGAGAAATCGTGCAGTGCCATAATTGTCAGGTGTATGGCCACACGAAGACTTATTGTCACCATCTGCTGCGTTGCGTGAAATGCGGTGAACATCAAAAATCTGTGGGGTGCACCAAACCGATACAAGATCCTGCAGTGTGTGAACTATGTTTGGAGGGACACCTAACTACAAAGGATGCCAAATTTTCAAGAATCTCCAATCCGGACACCAGAAGAAACGAATTCAAGATGAAGCAGGAAGACCAAGAAGAGAGATAGAGAGAGCCTTCTAGAATAGTAAACAATAGCGTATCATTCTCCCAGCTACTTAGAGGTAAAAACTCAACCGACAACTGTCAAGCCCTTCTGCAACAACAGCCTCAACCCCAACCTCAAAATCCTATTGATCCGAATATACCTAACCATCAACAAAAAATTCATATCCCTCTTCCTTCAAATGCAACAGATCTCACCAGTTTGTTGGCATCTTTCCTCAACGATTTCGAATCCTTAGTTACTCCACTGATATCACTTCTCACAAATCTCGTATCTCAACTCATCCCTCCTTTAAAAAATCCAGAATGACTCACATCCCAAACCCATATCTATTCTCCTTTGGAATGCGGATGGTGTTAAAAATCACGTTGACGAGCTAACAGCTTTATTACTGGACAAGAACATCGAAGTAGCACTAATTACGGAAACACGACTGACCAGAAAACAGCTCCTAAAAATACCTCAATACATAACATACCGCACTGACCATCCTGACGGTAAAGCACATGCCGGTTCTGCTGTTATTGTACATCACTCCCTTTCTCATCACCAGCTCCCATTACCGACACAAGAGTTCCTACAATCCACCGCTATAGTAATCAAAACTCTCTCCTTTCCCGTCACCATAACAGCAGCATATTGCCCTCCTAATAGATCCATATCCAATATCCAGTTCAGTTCTCTTCTCAACTCCTTCGGACATCACTTCATCCTGGATGGAGATTTAAACGCCAAACATCATCAATGGGGTTCTAGAACCACACATTTTTGTGACAGAACATTGTTATCTGCAAACAATTCCCAACGTTTCAGTATCCTTCCTCCTAACTCACCTACCTACTGACCCACAGATCCTAACCGCAATCCCGATATCCTTGATTTTTTCATCGACAGTGACTTAGGTCCCCTCAATCATTCCTTTACCTGTCTTGCCGAACTATCCTCAGATAATGCACAATCCCTATCCAGCACCAACCACCCCTATGATAAAAAAAAATATTCTTCTATTGGTCTATATTTGTTACTGTGAATAATTTAAGCTAAATACTTAAATAATACCAGTATGTTCTATTTATTAAATTGTAGGAAAATGTAGCCTAACAGAGTTTCTAGGTGTTGTGAGATGTCTTATCAATAAATATTAAAAAGCGTAGAATATCCATATTATAAAATTAATACTTCTTATATCCGTAGCTGTTGTAATATGACAGCTTATGATTACAGTGTTTGCGATCAGCACTGGTCGATATACCACTGATAGATATATTACTAGGTACTGTTTCATTTCACTTAGGTTTTATCTTTCATGGGGAGAGCCAACATTTCTCCAGCCATGTTTAACGATTTCATTATTGAAAAATCTCTTCTTAATGTGTGTGTGCTATCGAAATGGCTCGGTTTGTTCCCCTTCACCATGAATAACGAAGGATTCTTTCGAGTGTCCTTGCCTCGGTCTGTTTCATATTTTGTGGTTTTAGTTTCAGCCGTTGCTTTAATTATAATAACTTTTGATTTATTGACAGAAGAAGGTTCTTGGATCTCTAAATTTGTCTCTCTTACAAGTTTTTTATTTCATATTTCGTACCCATTTGTGTCGACTAGTGAATTATTTATAAAATTGAAGCATCTCAATCAATCCATAGAAAAACTGAAGTTGGCTTGCACAGTTTTATTTTCAGCTCGCAATTCTGTATTTCATCATACTAGAAGTTACCTCCTCACCAACATTATTATATCTTTCACAATTTGTATTTATAATATCTATTCTATTGATTCATTAGTTTCGAAAATGTTTATTTTTATTGTTCTCTGCTTTGTGCACGCGTGTCCTGTACTAATCTTAGTCGACAGGTTTTCTGGCTTCCTAGAAATAGTGACATCATTGTTCAAATTGTGTAACGATGAACTCTCATTGTTGCCTGCATCAACATCATCAACGA